CAAGGAATATATAACTTGTCACAAATGCCAGTCACTGGGTAGTCCTACAGGACACAAAACTCATTTCTTGAAGTATATAACTTATAATTCCCAATGCTGTGTCACCACTGTAAAAACTAACCTCCAGGCTGTCATGGGTAAGCCAGCATAGCTCCACACCAAAGCTAACTTATCTGCAAAGTCTGTTTTGGAGAGACAGCCTTATAGGTTTTCCATCACTGGATATGCCAGACTGAAAAACCACCATGTTCTTGGGGCCAGTGCTGTGGTACAGTGGGTAAAGCCTCTGCCTCTAGTTCTGGCATCCCACATGGGCACCGGTTCAAGACCCAGGTGCTCCACTTTTGATGCAGCTATCTGCTATGGCCTGGGAAAGAAAGAAGATGGCCCAAGTCCTTGGGCTGCTGCACCCACATGGGAGATCCAGAAAAGGCTCTTGGCTCCTGGCTTTGGATCAGCACAGCAGTTGCAGCCATCTGAGGAGTAAACTAGCGGATGAAAGGTCTCTATCTCTCTCTGCTTCTCCTTCTCTTTCTATGTAACTCTGACTTTCAAAAAAAAAAAAAAAAAAAAAACAACCAAGTAAATCTTAAAAAAAAAACTACTATGTTCTTTCATAGAGTAGTTGATCTGAAATCTTTGGAAGATGCTGATGCTCAAGCTGTTTACATTCTTGTTTCCTACTTTAATGCTATCAGAAAGAAACGTGATGGGTTAAGGAGACACTCTTAAAAATGCTCAGTAAGCCGGCGCCACTGCTCACTAGGCCAATCCTCTCTGCCTTGCAGCACCGGCACACTGGGTTCTAGTCCTGGTTGGGGCACCGGATTCTGTCCTGGTTACACCCCTCTTCCAGGGAGTGCATTGGAGGATGGCCCAAGTGCTTGGGCCCTGCACCCCATGGGAGACCAGGAGAAGTACCTGGCTCCTGCCATCGGATCAGCACGGTGCGCCGACCACGATGGCCATTGGAGGGTGAACCAATGGCAAAGGAAGACCTTTCTCTCTGTCTCTCTCTCACTGTCCACTCTGCCTGTCAAAAAAATTTAAAAAAAATTTTTTTTAATTTTCAGTAGACTTCAGTAAATGCAAGATAAGTTTAACTGATTTTTTTTTTAATCTCTATATAACGCAGAGTTATATAGAGAAACAGAAAGATCTCTTCCTTCCACTGGTTTACTCCCCAGTGGCTACAGTGGCTGGAAATGGGCTGATCTGAAGCCAGGAGCTTTTCCAGGTCTCCTACATGAGTGCAGGTGCCGAAGTACTTGGGCCATCACAGTTCTGCTGCTTCCCAGGTACCTTAGCAGGGACCCAGATCAGAAGTAGAGCAGCTGGGACTTGAACCATTGCCCATGTGGGATGCTGGCTCTGCAGACAGCAGCTTTACCCACTACATCACAGCATCCTCTCCTAAAAGTCATTTTTGAAAAAATGAGGTCCTGGCAAATGGGACACATAATAGGCCAATGGAATAGAAGTCCCCAAAACAATCTCACAAGACAGGTCAAACAATTTCTGACAAGGAGACCAAGACCATTCAATAAGGAAAGCACAGTAGTTGGAACAAATGGCATTGGAAAAACAATCTCTCCTTGCAAAAAAAGATGAAGTTGAAACTTAGCTAACACTGAGAACAAAATATAACTCAAAATGGTTCAGAGATCTAAATGTAAGACAGAACTCTAAAATGATGAAAACTGCAATAGGCTTATGGTCCTGAGTATTACTGTGACAGCAAGGCCACGAACAAATATAAAAATTGTACTTCATCAAAATTTCACATATCAAAAGACCTGTTAGCAAATTATATCTGGTAAGGGATAAATAAATTCATGATTCTTATAATTCAACAAGAGAAAGAAACTATGATTCAAAAGTGAGCCAAAGAGTTCAGTAGGTTTCAGTTAAAAAAAAATATATACAAATGGCCATAAGCCCATGTAAAGAACCTCCGCATCCTTATCAGAATGAAAGTATACTACAAAGGGCTGCTCTGGGGGCTTAAACCAAAGCTAGTAATGCCGTTTCGGGTCCTGAATTTGAATTTAGCTTTCTGCTAATGCACCTGGAAAGGCAGTGAGGTTGGCCATAGTACTTCTGCCCCTGTCACTCATGTGAGAGACCTCGGTGAAATTCTAGGCTTCTGCCTTCAATCTGGGACAGGCTTGCCATTGTGGTCATTGGTAGAATGAGCCAGTAGATTCAGGCATTCTCTCTCTTTTCTTCCCTCTGTCACTCTGCCTTCTAAATAATTTTTTTAGAAAATTCATTTGAAAGAAAATAAGGAGGAGATTCAGAGAGAGAGGTTTCATCTGGTTTACTCCCCAAGTGGCCACAATGACCAAGATAGGCCAGACCAAAGCCAGGAGCCATGAGCTTCCTCCAGTTCACCCCACATAGGTGTGTGGGCCCAAGAATTTGTGCCATCCTCCACTGCATTCTGGGCTCATCGGCACAGAGGTGGATGGGAAGTGAAGCAGCTGAGACTCAAATTTGGTGCCCATATGGGATTCCGGTGCTGCAGGCTATTGTGTCACTGCGCCATAACACATATACTCCTAAATATTTTTTTAAGAAAGTGCAAGAAAAGGCACCAGAATACCTCTTCACACCCATTAAGATGACCACTGTTGGGGCTGGCACTGTAATGCAGTAGGCTAAGCCTCCAAGTGCAATGCTAGCTAGTATCCCATATGGGTACTTGCTGCTCTTTTTCCAGTCCCGCTCTCTGCTATAGCCTGAGAAAGCAGTAGAAGTCGGCCCAAGTCTATGGATCCCTGCACTGATAAAGACTTGAAAAAGCTCCTGGCCTTGTATCCTTATCCCAGCTCTAGCCTTTGTGGCCGTTTGTGGAGTGCACCAGCAGGTGAAAGACTTTTCTGTTCTAACTCTACCTCTCAAATTAACAAATCTTTAAAAAAAAATGGATGTCCACTATTAAAACAAAAAGTTAACAGTGGGAATGTGGGAAAATTGGTACTGCCACTGTAGAAAATATCATAGCAGTTTGTAAAAAATTTAAAGATAGAAGTTCCACTTCTGCGTATAGACCCAAAAGAATTGAAAGAAATGTCAAAGCAGGCACACCAAGTTCAGAGTGAACATTCAACTTAGCTAAAATGCAAAGAGCCCAGATGTCCATCAACAGTGAACTGGGTAAACCATGAAATATTGTTCAGTATTGAAGGAAATTCTGTAGTATGTTACAAAATAATCTTAAAGACCTTTTGCTAAGTGAAATAGTGATTCCCTTGTTTCAGCTACATGAATTATCAAGAGACAGAAACTACAGTGGTAATTTAAAGGGGCTTGTGAGTGGGAAGTTTGTGAAAGTTGTTGTTTCAAATGAGTTTGTAAATGAAAAACATTTCTTTAGATCATGGTGATGGATGTATCCCAAAATGAATGCACTTAAATAGTACTGAATTTTACACATAAAGATAATTTAGAATATTAAATTTTATGTTACGTGTATTACAATAAAATTAGTTTTTCAAAAGATGAATAGGCACATTCTAGTGCACTGATGACCTCTTTAAACTTTAGTAAATATTCTACCTGTGACTCAAGCACTATGTATTTCTACGTAAATCTCTATGAAACCCAATATGACTGTTTTTACCCTTTCACAATTGCACAGAATTTTCCTCCAATATTTGTGAAATTATACTATTGATATGTATTGAGTAGAAATTCATTGGTCTCTTGATTATTTTATAAGGAATCCTGTTCTGCATTCCTCTCCCTTTTAAGTTGCACTTGTGTTTTATTCTTACCATTTGTATTTTTCCTTACTGAATCTCTGAAAAAAAGGGGGAAAGTAAAATAGTGTTAATCTTTTGCATATTTTACCACAGCAAAAAACAGAGGTTAAAAAAAAAACTAGATCTGTCTAGTTTCGTCTGTGTGACATTCTAGAAATGTTATCAGAAACTGATAGAGAATAATAAAAGATTGCCAGAAATTTGTAATAGTGGAAGGGGGACTGAAATATTAGCATTACTAAATATTGGGGAGTTTTAATGGATGATTTGGTATCTTTATTATGGTAGCTTTTGGTTTAATATCAAATATTTTTAGTTTTAGTTTTCATTAATTCATTTTATTCATTTGAAAGGCACAGTTACAGAGAGAGGGAAGGACAGGTAGAGCATTCTTCCTTCCACTGATTCATTCCACAATGGCCACAATGGCCAGGGCTGGGCCAGGCCACTTATAGGTTTCCCATGTGGGTTCGGGGCCCAAGGACTTGGACTATCCTTCAAAGCGGTTCCCACATGGCATGCCAGCACTGCAGGCGGCAGCATTCCCACTATGCCACAGCACCAGTCTCAGTACCAAATTTTTTAGGTATTGAAAGTTAACCACAAAAAACCGTAGATGCCTCTCTCTGGCACCTTCAAAATGATGCCATTATTATTGCTAAAATAAAAAGCATTAATTTGTCCTCTGATGTACATTATTATATGAAGACTCAGCTTTATGGTAGTCTGTGTTTTAGCAACATTACTTATTTTGTAAACACAATTGGTATTGTTTTCTTATGATTGATTCATCTAGATTTTAGTAATTGTTCAGATTACTTAAATCACGTTTAATCTGAAGAAAGCAAAACTTTCTCTTCTCTGAACAGTCATTTGAATGAAATAAAGGGATATACTCCTTTCACTATATCATCCAAAATTTAAGTAAAATTACTATGTGAAGATAGTAACTAGTTATCCATATAAGCATGAATTTCCACTCCTGTAAATGACATAATTTTATCCATTGAAAATGCCTGAAGGTACTATGTCACACCAGTAATTTTACAATAGTTTCTATACTGCAGAATCATGAACTTCACTTGTGTTTTCATTGCAACTCCATACATAGTGTCCATTTCACATTTCATCTTAAGGAATAAAATCTCAGTGTATGTTGCTATCATTTTTGTTTCTGTATTATATAAGTATATTCTAAGGCTGTATTGCTTATTTTCTTCCACTTTTTCTCAGGCTTTGGGGTGAACCTGTTAATCTTCGTGAACAACATGATGCTTTAGAGTTCTTTAATTCTTTGGTCGATAGTTTAGATGAAGCTTTAAAAGCATTAGGACATCCTGCAACACTAAGTAAAGTATTAGGAGGTTCCTTTGCTGATCAGAAGATTTGCCAAGGCTGCCCACATAGGTAAATACTAATTACATTTTTCTTGTATACTTCTTATTAGTCTTTTTTTAAACAGCATAAATAAAATTTTCACTAGTACTTACAGGAAAGCAGAGTACTATCAATCAGTTAATTATATTCAAACACAGACCCCTTTATTCTGTTTTTTTCTCTGGGTTTTTTTTTACTCTACTTCATGTATTATTATTTGTTTTGTGGTACCCTAAGCCATAAAATCACATTTTTCAAAAACTTACAGTTACTGCTTTATGATTTTCTGTTACATCATAATTAAAATAGTAATTGAAATATCTTAAAGTAAGTTTAGAGGATGAGTAGTAGCTCTAGAGTAATTGTTTCCTATCCATTACTTTCCAATTACCATTAATTCGGAAATTCTTGGGATATATTAAATAAGTTTGCATGTAAAATGTTTATCAAGAATGTATACATCAGGGATAAGCTTTGTGGCAGGCATAGTTAAACCTTTACCTGTAATATCAACATCCTCTATCAGAATGTCACGCCACTTCCCATATAGCTCCCTGCTGATACACTGGGAAAGCAGCAGATGATGAGCTATCTGTTTGTAACCCTGTAATCTGTATGAAAGACCTTAATGGAGTTTCTGACTCCTGGATTCAGCTCGGCCCAGCCTCAGCTATTGGCCCCATTTGTACAGTGAACTAACAGATGGGATATCCTCCCCCAGTACCTCACTTGCTCTCTCCACTCTCTTTCAAGTAAATTAATATTTTGGGGAAAAAAGACTTTGTAAGATCATATATTCCATTTATAGTTAATAAAAAAGGAAATTGATTTCCTAAGATGGCTAATAAATAGCTCAATATTTTAAATCAGAAAATGTCATCCATAGACAGTTTGCACCTATCACATGTCATGCAGAAGTCTTACTTTGAGGCTTAACCTCTTTTTATGGTATGTAATGCTGATGGGAAATCTTTTCTCATGAAAATACTACATCACGGTGGTATTTTCTGCAACAATCATTAAATATAAACATCAGTTGGATATAAATAAGCGCACAATGCGGTATTTTCTTCCTTTTTTTTTTTTGTTTTTTTGTTTTTTTTTGTTTTTTGACAGGCAGAGTAGACAGAGAGAAAGGTCTTTTGCTGTTGGTGCACACTCCAGTGGCCACCTCGGCCGGCGCGCTGCAGTCGGCGCACCACGCTGATCCGATGGCAGGAGCCAGGTACTTACCCTGGTCTTCCATGGGGTGCAGGGCCCAAGCACTTGGGCCATCCTCCACTGCACTCCGTGCCACAGCAAAGAGCTGGCCTGGAAGAAGGGCAACCGGGATAGAATCTGGTGCCCCGACCAGGACTAGAACCCGGTGTGCCGGTGCCGCAAGGCGGAGGATTAGCCTAGTGAGCCGCGGCACCGGCCTACAATGTGGTATTTTCAACAATAGGGAATAATTTGAGAAAAAGTAATATTCCTTAAATAACAACTTTATAATGTTAACAACACTATTCTTTTTTAAAAGATTCATATATTTATTTGAAAGGTAGAATTTAGAGAGAGAGACAAGGACAGATAGATCTTTCATCCACTGGTTCACTCCACAGGTGGCTGGAACTGAATTGATCCAAAACCAGCACCCAGGAGCTTCTTCCAGGTTTTCCAGGTTTTCCAGTTGGGTAGGAGAAGGCTAACGTTTTGGACCATCTTCTGCTGCTTTCCTCAGCATATTAGCAGGGAACTAGATCAGAAGTAGAACAACTCTTAGGGGACACTACTACACAGCTGCTTTACCTACTATGCCATGATGCCAGCCCAGTATATTATTCATTTTTTAGTAGAGAAACTTAATCACATTGTTTGGTCTGTATGGAAAATTTTTGCATGAAATAGTATATAATAAAAAGTATCTGATTGTTAGCATTTAGTCACTGTTGAATATTAATGTGTTGCTCTTCTAAATAAAAATACCAAAACTCAAAAGCACATTCCAACTACACTCATATTGTTAGCTAATAACAGGATTACATGAGTCCCATAGTTTTATTTTTTTATTTGCATGTGTTTCAAAAATATAACTTGAGGAACATAGTTTTTAGTTGATTGTGGGAGCTTTTGATTTAATATCAAATATTTTATTTTCCATCATCCTGCCTTCCCACATTCCCACCCCTCTTCCTCCTCAATCTTTTCCCAGTTTTCCTTTATACTTAGATTATTTTTTAGAAAACCTTTATTTAATAAAAATAATTTCAAAAGTACAACTTTTGGATTATGGTAGTTTTTCCCCCATAACCACCATCCCACCCACAGACTATCCCATCTCCTGCTCCCTCTCCCACCCATACTTCAATAAGATTCATTTTGGGCCAGCGCCGCGGCTCAATAGGCTAATCCTCCTCCTTGCAGCGCCGGCACACCGGGTTCTAGTCCCGGTCGGGGCACCAGATTCTATCCCGGTTGCCCCTCTTCCAGGCCAGCTCTCTGCTGTGGCCAGGGAGTGCAGTGGAGGATGGCCCAAGTACTTGGGCCCTGCACTCCATGGGAGACCAGGAGAAGCACCTGGCTCCTAGCTTCGGATCTGCGCGGTGCGCCGGCTGCAGCGCACCAGCCGTGGCGGCCATTGGAGGGTGAACCAACGACAAAAGGAAGACCTTTCTCTTTGTCTCTCTCTCTCACTGTCCACTCTGCCTGTCAAAAAAAAAAAAAAAAAAGATTCGTTTTGAACTAACTTTATATACAGAAGATCAACTTAATATATACTAAATAAGGATTTCAACAGTTTGCACCCACACAGATACACAAAATATAAAGTACTGTTTGAGTAGTAGTTTTACCATTAATTCTCATAGTACAACACATTAAGGACAGAGATCCTACATGGGGAGTAAGTGTACTCCCATTGTTGATTTAACAGTTGACACTTGTGACAGTTGTGATGTCAATAATCACCTGAGGCTCTTGTCATGAGTTGCCAAGGCTATGGAAGCCTTTTGAATTCACAAACTCTGATCTTATTTAGACAAGACCATAGTCAAAGTGGAAGTTCTCTCCTCCCTTCAGAGAAAGGTATCTCCTTTGATGGCCTGTTCTTTCCACTGGGATCCCAGCACTAATTATTGAATAAATTGTCCTTGCTCCAGAAATTGGAGCAACCAAATATAAGTTAGTTGTAGATGTTTGGATTGACTTCTGGTGTTTTATTCTGTTCCATTGGTCTATCCATCTGTTTCTGTACCAGTACCATGCTGTTTTGATTATGCTTGCCCTGTAGTACGTCTTGAAATCTGGTATTGTGATGCTCCGACTTTTTTTTTTAAGGGAAAGGAGTTTATTGGGCGAAACCCCTCAGACTGGAGGGAAGGGACAGAGAATGAAAAGAGCAAGAAGGAGAGAGAGACAGAGCAGAGATCAGGAAATGGGTCCTTTTAAAACTTTCCCATGGGCCGGGCAGGGAAGTAGGAGCAGCGAATCCCATTAGGATAGGGGTGGAGCTTGACACCAATGGTTGGGCCATGTGGTTGTCTCTAAGATTGGTTTAGCTATTCTCTTGTGTTTCAATATGAATTTCACCATACTTTTTTCTAGATCTGAGAAGAATGTCTTTGGTATTTTGATTGGTATTGCATCGAATTTGTAAATTGCTTTTGGAAGTATGGAAATTTTGATGATATTGATTCTTCTAACCCATGAACATGGAAGATGTTTTCATTTTTATTATCTTATGTTTCTTTTTTTAATGTTCTGTAATTCTTATCATAGACATCCTTGGTTAAATTTATTCCAAGATATTTGATTTTTTTTAAACTTTGGGTCACCTATATATAGAATCATATCATCTGCAAATAAGTACAGTTTGATTTCTTCCTTCTCAATTTATATCCCTTTGATTGCTTTTGCTAGCCTAAAAGCTCTGAATAAAACTTACAGAACTATATTGAAAGAGAACTACAGGCCGGCGCCGTGGCTCAATAGGCTAATCCTCTACCTTTGGCACCAGCACACTGGGTTCTACTCCCAGTCGGGGTGCCGGATTCTCTCCTGGTTGCTCCTTTTCCAGTCCAGCTCTCTGCTGTGGCCCAAGAGTGCAGTGGAGGATGGCCCAAGTGCTTGGGCCTTGCACCTGTGTGGGAGACCAGGAGAAGCACGTGGCTCCTGGCCTCAGATCAGCACAGTGCACCAGCTGCAGAGTGCCAGCTGCAGCAGCCATTGGGGGATGAAGCAACAGAAAAGGAAGACCTTACTCTCTGTCTCTCTCTCTCTCTCACTGTCCACTCTGCCTGTCAAAATTAATTAATTAATTAAAAAAGAAAGAACTATAGACCAATTTCCATAGTGAACATAGATGTAGAAATCCTTAGCAAAATAATGGCCATTTGAATCCAACAACCCATCAGAAAGATCTTCACCCAGACCAAGTTAATTTATTCCTGTTATGCAGGGATGGTTCAATATTTGCGTAACAATGTGATACACCACATTAACAAACTGAAGAATAAAAACCTTATGATTATCTCAATAGACAGAAAAATAAAATACAACACCCTTTCATGATGAAAACCCTAAGCAAATTATTTATAGAAGGCCGGCGCCGGGGCTCACTAGGCTAATCCTCCGCCTTGCGGCACCAGCACACCAGGTTCTAGTCCCGGTTGGGGCACCAGATTCTGTCCCGGTTGCTCCTCTTCCAGGCCAGCTCTCTGCTGTGGCCAGGGAGTGCAGTGGAGGATGGCCCAAGTGCTTGGGTCCTGCACCCCATGGGAGACCAGGATAAGTACCTGGCTCCTGCCATCGGATCAGCGCGGTGCGCCAGCTGCAGCGCGCCGGCCGCGCCGGCCATTGGAGGGTGAACCAACAGCAAAGGAAGGCCTTTCTCTCTGTGTCTTTCTCTCACTGTCCACTCTGCCTGTCAAAAAAAATTATTTATAGAACAAACATTTCTCAACACAGTCAAGGCAATCTATGACAAATCCATAGCCAGCATCTTGTTGAATAAAAGTTAGATGCATCCCTGCTGAGATCTGGACGCAGACAAGTATGTCTACTCTCACCATTGCTATTCAATATAGTCCTGGAAAATTTAGCCAGAGCCATTAAGCAAGAAAAATAAATCAAAGGAATACAAATTGAGAAGGAGGAAGTCAAATTATCCCTGTTTACCAATCACATAGCTTTTTGTTACAGGCCATTACTTCTTACAATGTACTGTTTTTCTTGGAATATCTTTCAATCACAGGTAATCTTTAAAATGTCTTTTTCTTTTGAGTTGATTTATGATTATATAGCAGCTGGCTTAATAGGCCATTTATAAATTTATTTTCTATAATAGCTGTTCTGCAAGTACTGCTTGAATTCATTTAATGGTTTAAAAATAATATACCCTGCTTACCATTTGCTAGTTTTTTAGCATGTGACAGAAACTCTGAAAGTAGACTTTATGTAAAAAATCATAATTTGAGATGCTAACTCATTTCCACACTATTTAGTTCTCTAAAGTAAACAGTGGAGGCATAAAATCATGCTGATCTTTTAACTTGTGCATAGAGAAAGCTTCTGTAACAGAAAATTAAAAACACTTTAAAATTCAGTTTAACAAAGTTTAGAATAGCCTTTTTCAGAATTTGGTCAATCTTTACCTTTACCTTCATGTAAATAACTACTTAAACAGATAAATACGGGAAACAGTGAGGCCAAATAAACTCAACTTCAAATTATCACCTCATGTAGTAAACTGAATCAGTTTTGCTTATTATTTATTCCCCAACTTTAGAGTAAGCTAGGAATGAGATACTCTCTAGCATGTTTCCAGTGAAGGTGAAGATAGGCATTAATGTGTATAAAGAGTCTGATATAGTATCAGAAAATAAAGAATCAAAAAGGATAGTTACTCATTACAAACACTGATAACTCATGGATTAATGATATAATAAATACTGAAAATATATTTTTCATCAAGTTCACAACTTTAAGTATACAGAAACTTTAAGAATCAACTGTTGTTTTTTAAATAATTCCTTTAGATATGAATGTGAAGAATCTTTCACAACTTTGAATGTGGATATCAGGAATCATCAAAATCTTTTGGATTCTTTGGAGCATTATATCAAAGGAGATTTATTAGAAGGTGCAAATGCATATCGTTGTGAAAAATGTGATAAAAAGGTATGCAGTCTGTGCATTTTAAGTGTTGTCATTGGGGGCCAGCACTGTGGAGAAGGTGGTAAAGCCTTCCGCTTGCAATATGGTATTCCAGTCCCAGCTGCTCCACTTCCAATCTAGTTCACTGCTAAGGAGTCTGGGGAAAAAGTGGAAGATAGACCAAGTCCTTAGGTCTTATTGTCTCTGTGGGAGACATAGAGAAGTTCCTGTCTCTTGGATTCAGCCTAGCCATTTTAGCCATTTATTTATTTATTTATAAAGATTTATTTTTCATTTATTTGAAAGACCAAGTAAGAGAGGTAGAGCCAGAGAGAGAGAGAAGTCCTCCATCTGCCAGTTCACTCCCCAAATGGCTGCAATAGCCAGAGCTGAGCTGGTCCGAAACCAGGAGCCAGAAACCTCTTCCAGGTCTCCCATTGCTGATGCAGGGGCCCAAGGACTTGGGCTGTCCTCTACTGTTTTCATAGGCTGTAGCAGAGAGTTGAATCAGTGCAGCAGCAAGGACTCTCGAATCAGCACTCATATGGGATGCCGACACAGCAGACCAGAGCTTTAACCTGCTGCACCACAGCGCCAGCCCCCGTTTTGGCCATTTAAGGAGTGAAGCAGCAGATGGAAAATATCTCTCTTTACCTCTGTCTCTCCTCTGTAACTCTGCCTTATCAAGTAAACCTGTTTTTTAAAAAAGATAATCATTAAGTAGAATTAGAAAGTATCATGGTTGTTCATGCTTATTCTCAAAATTACCATCTGGTCTATTTCAGCTTTGTTATAATGATAGCAAAGAGGAAGTCAAGATGACACCTAATTAAAATATACCAGGGGATAATACATTGCTGATGATTGTTCTTGCCATATGAATAATTTGGGAAAATCATTCTTCCTGCAGTTTAAAAGCTTTCTATCTTTACTCTAAAGTAAATTGCTGTTTAACTCCTGAAACTAGAAAAGTTGATGATAGGAAATATTCTTCCTTTCAAGTTCTTTTTTTATTTTTTATTTATTTATTTATTTATTTTTTTACAGGCAGAGTTAGACAGTGAGAGAGAGACAGAGAGTAAGGTCTTCCTTTTCCGTTGGTTCACCCCCCCAAATGGTCGCTACCACTGGCACTGTGCCAATCGGAAGCCAGGAGCCAGGTGCTTCCTCCTGGTCTCCAATGTGGGTGTAGGACCCATGCACTTGGGCCATCCTCCATTGCCTTCCTGGGCCACAGCAGAGAGCTGGACTGGAAGAGGGGCAACCGGGACAGAATCCGGTGCCTCAACTGGGACTAAAACCCAGGGTGCTGGCGCTGCAGGCAGAGGATTAGCCTAGTGAGCCACAATGCTGGCCCTCTAGTTCTTTATTACTCCTAAAGTCCAAGAAGTTTTTGTTGATTGTGTTTGATTGTAGACTTTCCCAAACACGTGCAGTTTAACTAACAGATCTCATTTTTAATTCATGGGATGAAAAAATAACACGTCATTGAAGTTACCATACAATATAAATATATACGTATTTCTTTGTCCCTTACCTTGCAAATGGCTCTTGTTGTTTTTTGTTTGTTTGTTTGTTTGTTTGTTTGTTTGTTTGTTTTGACAGAGTGGACAGGGAGAGAGAGAGGGACAGAGAGAAAGGTCTTCCTTTTCTGTTGGTTCACCCCTCAATGGCCACTGCGGCTGGCGCACTGCACTGATCCGAAGCCAGGAGCCAGGTGCTTCTCCTGGTCTCCCATGTGGGTGCAGGGCCCAAGGACTTGGGCCATTCCTCCATTGCACTCCTCAGCCACAGCAGAAGGCTGAACAGGAAGAGGAGCTACCTGGATGGCGCCGCAGGCAGAGTATTAGCCTATTGTGCCACGATGCTGGCCTGCTCTTGTTATTTTAACCTAAACTCTTATTAGATTATAATTGTAAAGCTATAGTAACTTATCTACAGCCTCTGAGACTTTAAACAATTTCTTCTCTTTCTGACATTCTTAATTCACATCTTTAAAAGTAATGCAATAGGTAGGACATTTTTTCAGAAGAGGATTAAATCTGTTAATGTAGATTACAACACACTATAATTGATATCTAGGTGACATAAATATTAGCTGCTTTATTAAATTACTTAAAATACTTCTTCAGTTTACTCATAGAAAACTCAGTTGCATTAAAGTATCAAGGGGCTGGCACTGTGTCATAGTGAGTTAAGCTGCCAGCTGTGATTCCAGCTTCCTGTTAGCATATTCAAGTCATGGCTGCTCCACTTTGGATCCAGCTCCCTGCTAAAGCACCTGGGAAAGCAATGAAAGATGATCAAGCTCCTTAGGCCCCTGAATCTGAGTGGAAGTCCTAAATGGAATTTTTGGCTTCTGACTCTGGGCCAGCCCCCAGGTGCTCGGACATGAACCAGTTGGTGGAAGATAACTGTCTTCCTCCCCTACCCCCACCTCATTTTCTTTCTCTCTGTTTATGTGTATATGTGTGTGTTTCTCCTCTCTGTAAGTGCCTTTCATACAAATAAATTTAAAGAAAAAATAAACATCGAAGGAAAATAACAGTGAGATATCTGGTCAAATGGAGCTAGGTATTCAACAGTGCTATTGCTTACATGTAAATCTGATTTTGGAACTTGGAAGAATGAGAGGATATTTACATAGTTTTATAAATATTGTTTAAAATATCGGTAAATATTGTTTAAGTAGGTTACAGAATCCAGTCCTCTGGCACAGCAAATTAAAGCCACAGCCCTAATCGGTGCTGTTACGAGTCCCAGCTCTGCTACTTCCAATTCAGCTCCCTGCTAATGCACGGGAGAAAGCCCTGGTACTTGAGCTTCTGAATCCAAGCAGAAGACCCAGAAGAAATCTCTGGCTCCTGGATTCAGCCTGGCCCAGCCCCAGTCACTGTGCCATATGGGGAGTGAACCAGATGGAAGATTTTTCTCTGTCTGTGTCTCCTCTGTAACTCTGCCTTTCAAATAAATTAAATAAATAAAAAAAAAGAAAGAAATCAGTTATAAGAGAATTACTAAAATTGTGTTATCATTTGTTAATCTGCAACTAAGTCTCAATTGGTTATAAAGTTCACTTTATATTTTTATTGTGTTTGGGTTGTAAGATAACATGCATTTGTATTTTATGTATTGTAGGTTGACACAGTAAAGCGCTTGCTGATTAAAAAACTACCTGCTGTTCTTGCTATCCAATTGAAACGATTTGACTATGACTGGGAAAGAGAATGTGCAATCAAATTCAATGATTATTTTGAATTTCCACGAGAACTGGACATGGAACCTTACACAGTTGCAGGTGTTGCAAAACTGGAAGGAGATAACATAAGCCCAGAAAGTCAGTTAGTTAAACAAAATGAGCAGTATGAAAATGAGATAGCACCAGACACAAAATACAGACTTGTGGGTGTGCTGGTACACAGTGGTCAAGCAAGTGGTGGACATTATTATTCTTATATCATTCAGAGAAACAATAAAGATGCACAGAGAGAACGCTGGTATAAATTTGATGATGGAGATGTAACAGAATGCAAAATGGATGATGATGAAGAAATGAAAAATCAGTGTTTTGGTGGAGAGTACATGGGCGAAGTATTTGATCATATGATGAAGCGCATGTCATACAGGCGACAGAAAAGATGGTGGAATGCTTATATACTTTTTTATGAAAGAATGGACACAATAGATGAAGATGCTAAGATGAGAAGATATATATCACAGCTGTCTGTCAGAAGACCCTATCAGATTATTATGTCTCCAGCTATTGAGAGAAGTGTACGGAAACAAAATGTGCAATTCATGCATAATCGAATGCAATACAGTTTAGAATATTTTCAGTTTGTGAAAAAACTGCTTATGTGTAATAGTGTTTACTTAACTCCTGCTCCAGGTAAGTTTGTGGAAAGTAACTTCTCATTGATAGAGTATTCTTACTTCACTTGTAGAGTTTCTGACAATGTATGAAAACGAAAACGTTTCATCTTTTTCTTCAATTTTCTTGATTTTTTTGTCATATAAAATTAATAGACATAATTTCTTTAAGTGTGTCACCATTTTTTTTATAAAGATGTATTTATTTGAAAGTCAGAGTTATAGAGAGAGGAGAGGCAAAGAGAGAGAGAGAGAGAGAGAGGTCTTCCATCTGCTGGCTCACTCCCCAATTGGTCGCAATGGCCAGAGCTGCACCAGTCCGAAGCCAGGAGCTTCCTCCAGGTCTCCCACATGGGTGCAGGGGCCCAAGGACTTGGGCCATCCTCCACTGCTTTCCCAGGCCACAGGCAGAGAGCTGGATGGGAAGTGGAGCAGCCGGATCTCGAACCGGCGCCCATATGGGATGCTGGCACCGCAGGCCAGGGCACTAACCCGTTGCGCCACAGCGCCGGCCCCTAAGTGTGTCACCATTTTATGTCATTATTTATTTGTCTACTTATCTGTGTCATTATATCTGAGGGACAGAAATATGCAGAAGGCAAGAAACAGAGTTCCCATGCACTGTTCTACTCCCTGAATGCTGCTGTCTCCAGTCTTGAAGACAGGCAGGGGCCAGGATCACAGTCCAGGTCTGTAAAATGGGCAGAGACCATGACATTTGAGCTATCACCACTGACTTCCAGGGCCTATATTGGTAGGAAGCTGGAGTGAGAAATCAAGCCCAGGCATTCCACAAGCATCTTAATTGCTGGGCTAATTACCTGCTCCTGGTTTAGTTGTTTTAAAGTAGAAAACTTAAGACATCCATTTTGAATAGTGGGCCTTAGCATTTGGAAAGACAGAAGATCTTTGATTTATGATAACAATTTTTTCAACTCAAAAATTAGTTTGAAACTTGGCTTAGCGAGATGCTAATATTCACTAAGCATTGTTTACCTAGGTAAAGATTTTTGTTTATTTATTCATTTAGAAGGTAGATTGGCAGAATTCACTCCACAGATGGTCACCACAGCCATTCCAAAGCTTAAAAACTCCATCCTAGACTCCTCATATCAGTGGCAGGGACCCAAACATTTGTCTCATCTTCCAGGGTGTTCCCAGGCACATTAGCAGGAAGCTGATCCAGAAGCTGAGCAGCCAAGACTGAACCTGGCAGTGTGATCTTCTGGTATTATAAGCCGCAGCTGTATCTGCTATACCACCACACTGTCTCGGATATTTTTTAGTATAGGTTTTGAAAATAAAAATGTTTCTGTATTTCTTGTTTTAAGGACGAGATCACTTATTGCCTGAAGCGGAAGAAATCACTATGATTAGTATTCAACTTGCTGCTAGATTCCTGTTTACTACTGGATTTCACACAAAGAAAATTGTCCGTGGCCCTGCCAGTGACTGGTATGTGTCTCTGGGTTGCATTTATGTTATAGTTGGTTTGATTATTTATTATATAGGTTTGTTATTTTTATAACCTTAATATTTTAAAATTTCAAATTTGTGATTAATGTATCACTAGTATTGGTGAGAAAGATCTTACTAAAATTAAATTACTTAATCTAAATGTGACCAACTTTTATTAAAAATTCAGGGTCATATCTAGTTTATTTAATTTTGAAAGTATTAGGCTTTATCTTTCTTAGATTAAATTCTCACATAATTTATAGTTAAAAAGTTTTAAAATAATCTGTTATTATTCATTGAATTCAGATGACTTTTTTAAAAAACATTTATTTATTTTAAAATCAGAGTTACAGAGACAACGTTAGACAGAGATTTCCATCCACTGGCTCATAGCCCAGATGGCCACAACAACTGGAGCTGGGCCTGGCCAGAGCCAGGAGCTTCTTTCAGGTGTTTGGTGTGGGTGGCAGAGGCCCAGCCATTTAGGCCATCCTCTAGCCACTTTTTCCAGGCCATCAGTAAGGAGCTAGATCAGAAGTGGAGCTTCTGTATAGGATGACAGCTTTCCAGGCAGTGTCTTTACCTGCTATACCACAAAGCCAGCCCCCAGATGACATTTTAATATACCTTTCTCTTCCCGAAAGCAATCAAAACAAGTACAGTAATAAAAATTGATATATCTGGTTCTATTGTAGGTATGATGCCCTATGTATTCTTCTCCGTCACAGCAAGAATGTGCGCTTTTGGTTTGCACATAATGTACTTTTTAATGTGTCAAATCGTTTCTCTGAATACCTTTTGGAGTGCCCTAGTGCAGAAGTGAGGGGTGCATTTGCAAAGCTTATAGTATTTATCGCACATTTTTCCTTGCAAGATGGGTCTTGTCCTTCACCTTTTGCATATCCAGGACATTGTACTCAGGTAATGCTGTAGTTTGTCTTTAATAACTAAATATTTATAATATGATAAATTCTATTCTGCAAGTTCACATCAGCTAACCAGTGCCTCTTTGCAATGAAAACCCATACAAATATGTGTATTTTTAACTTAATTATGTGTAATTTAATATTTTGTATTACGCTTACAATGTCAAAATTATTTGAAAATAATAATTTTGGTGTGCATTGATAAATGAGGGGAATCTCTGGTCTGTTAAGAGTTTCAGTGTGTTTAATAAATATATTCAGAACGTAGTAAATCTGCAGATTATTTTATGCTTGATTTAATTTTATAATGGCTACCTTAAGCGTTTGTTAAATAACTTGATCTCATGACAAGCTAATTGGTAGGTTTTTAATTGCAATAGTTTAAAGAATTTACAATGAAGGTTGCCACAGTTTAGTCTCTTTCATAAAGAACACTATATTTAATCATTTCTTTCTTAAAAATTTTGCCGTTCTGGTAGACATGACCCAAGACTGTTTTTATGTAAATAGCATTATGCTGCTTCTACATGTTACTGCTGGCAGTATAACCAATATTTATTTTCACAGATATATGATAACTTGAGTTTGAGTGATCATTTACTAAGAGCAGTGCTAAATCTTTTGAGAAGGGAAGTTTCAGAAAATGGACGTCATTTGCAGCAGTATTTCAATTTGTTTGTAATGTATGCCAATTTAGGTAAGGAATTAACATAATTACTTTTCATAATTATAAATCAAATGAAACCAATTTAATCAAGTTCTGAGACACACAAATAGAAACAATATTTCATTTTCAAGTCCTTAACAGTTACTGAAAATTTTGGGTTTTTTTTCCTTTTTCTTTTCTTTACTTTTTTTCCAGAAACCATTTATTTAGTTATGCGTACTTCATGCATTTCATAATTACAACTTTAGGAACACGGTGATACTTCCAACCCTACCTGTCTCCCACCCACACTCCAACCATCTTCCTTCTCCCTCTCCTATTTCCATTCTTATTTTTCACTAAGATTATTTCAGTTAACTTTATACACGTAATTTTTTTTTTTTTTGACAGGCAGAGTGGACAGTGAGAGAGAGAGACAGAGAGAAAGGTCTTCCTTTGCTGTTGGTTCACCCTCCTATGGCCACCGCTGCTGGCGCTGCGGCCGGTGCACCGCGCTGATCCGATGGCAGGAGCCAGGAGCCAGGTGCTTTTCCTGGTCTCCCATGGGGTGCAGGACCCAAGCACCTGGGCCATCCTCCACTGCACTCCCTGGCCACAGCAGAGGGCTGGCCTGGAAGAGGGGCAACCGGGACAGAATCCGGCGCCCCGACCGGGACTAGAACCCGGTGTGCCGGCGCCGCTAGACGGAGGATTAGCCTAGTGAGCCCCGGCGCCGGCCTATACACGTAATTTTAACCCTATGCTGAATAATATTTTGTTTTAACTTTTTAGTGATACTGCCCATCTTGAACTATAAGTTAAACTCTTACCTTTGTTTCTCTGACAGTATTGTCAAATCGAACACTGATTCAGGTTTTTATCTCTTTAGTGGTGCTTTTTGAAAAATACTGATGTCTAGGCCATATTTTGTAAAGGATCCCAAATAATTGTGGTCCTTAGTTTTATTAATCAGTTATAAGTAATTTTTGTTTAAACAATGCTTGATGAATCAACAGTAATGGTGTCACTTATTGAGAGAAGAAACCTAGCAGGAGCACTGTTGGAATTATGTTGTGGTGTAGCAGATTAAGGCAACGGCCTGCAATTCAGCCATCCATATGGGCCCTGGTTCAGGTCCCAGATGATCCACTTCTGATCCAGCCCCCTGCTAGTGGCCTAAGTAGCTTGGGTTCCTGCACCCATGTTGGAGACCTGGAAGAGCTCCTAGCTCCTGACTTTGGCCTGGTCCAGCCCCAGCTCATGTGGCCATTTGGGAATTAGCCAACAGATGGAACATCTCTCACACTTTTTCTCCGTTCCTCTCTCTGTAACTCTACCTTTCAAAAAAATAAATTTAAAGGAAAAAAAAGCACTATCTGGGCAGATAATATTTTAACAGCATAATAAGTCAATATTAGTGAGATGTTTATGTCCTGGACTTTGAATCATCTAAATGAATATATTCTTTACCTTAGATTTCATCAGAAAAAAAAAACAGGTCACTTAAAGGGAGTGGAAACTAGTGAAATAATTTAAAGAGATAGATAGGAGAATCCATAAGTCAAAGGTGAAGCCAGGAAAAAAATTTTAAAAAATGAAAAAGGGAATCCAAGAGGAAAAACTTCCAAGGAGGGGGCGTACTTAAGTAGCCAAGAAAATTGAAAAAGGCGTAGAGGTGGAAAAATGAGAAAAACACAAATAACAAAAATAGGTTTTTGTCTTCCAAAAGTTTTATCTACATAAAGTAAAAAAACATTAGAAATTTTTTAAATAGTTTTTATTTATCTTTAATTTAGCTTCTATCTTACTGAATTATAATGAGACTTTCCTGAGTCATAAGAGAGTGTACATTTCCCTTAGGGGCACATGTAAAATATTAAGCCACGGACCGGCACTATAGTGCAGCTGGTTAACACCCTGGCCTGAAGCTCTGGCATCCCATATGGGTGCCAGTTCTAGTCCTAGCTGCTCCTCTTCTGATCCAGCTCTCTGCTTTGGCCTGGGAAAGCAGTAGAAGATGCCCCAGGTCCTTGGAACCCTGCACACATGTGGGAGACCTGGAAGACTCTCTCTCTCTCTCTCTTATTTCTCTTCTCTCTGTGTAACTCTCTGACTTTTGAATAAATAAATAAAATCTTTTAAAAAAATAATAAAATATGCCAGAGGCATGAATTATTATTTCAGAGTTGCAGTACTTAATCTTATTTAACTAAATTAGTAATAAACTGTTCTGCCTTCATTCTATCTTCATTCTTCTTAACTGTTCTGATCAAGGGAGATGAATTTGTAATTAAAAGATTAATGCTCTGTTCTAATTAGTTTTTTATTATTACAACACTATTCATCCTTTCTTACACTTATTCTTACTGTTACTATTCCCTCTCTTTTTTTTTTTAGGCATGGCAGAAAAGACACAGCTTTTGAAGTTGAGTGTACCTGCTACTTTTATGCTTGTGTCTTTAGATGAAGGACCAGGTCCTCCAATCAAGTATCAGTATGCTGAATTAGGCAAATTATATTCAGTGGTGTCACAGTTGATCCGCTGTTGCAATGTCTCATCAAGAATGCAATCTTCAGTCAATGGTAAAGTAGAATGTTAGCTTCTTTACAGTAATTTTTCAATAATAGTAGGTCTATGTGATAATTTTGAAGTAATTTTGAACATTTATAAAAATGAAGAAAGAATCTGAAGGCCTATGCTTCTGAAATATTTTACCTTATTTAGAAAATACTTTCTTTAAGAATTTTGAATGTCTTCAATTCTTCAGTTTCTGCATTAATTTTGGTATTTTATCATCCTTGAATCTCTATTCATTTAGTAAATTTTTTATTGTACCAAAGAAATGTAATTTAAAATGAGAATTTATTTTTTGATGTAAGAAAAGTAGATCTGTTATTGGCATTTCATTAATGACAAATCTGTTCTAGGTAATCCCCCTCTTCCTAATCCTTTTGGTGACCCTAACTTATCACAACCTATAATGCCAATTCAGCAGAATGTGGCAGACATTCTATTTGTGAGAACAACTTATGTGAAGAAAATTATTGAAGACTATAGTAACTCTGAGGAAACCATCAAGTTACTTCGTTTCTGCTGCTGGGAGAATCCTCAGTTCTCATCTACTGTCCTCAGTGAACTTCTGTGGCAGGTTAAAGAAAAGTATTCGTAAATCTATATTTGTTTCATTATTCCTTCAAGTAAGTAATTTACTGTTTTACCTATTTTTAGGTTGCATATTCATACACCTATGAACTTCAGCCATATTTGGGTCTACTTTTGCAAATTTTACTGATTGAGGATTCCTGGCAGACTCACAGGTGAATATTCTTTGCTACTAGCATAATTAACAATTTCTCAAGTTCTTAAAATTAACTCTTGGTAGCCAAAAAATACTAAAACCTTTTTGAGCTCTTTTTAATCGTCTATGTATTTTAAAACGCAACATAAAATTACATGAAATCAGGCCGGTGCCACAGCTCACTAGGCTAATCCTCCGCCTTATGGCGCCGGCACACCGGGTTCTAGTCCCAGTCAGGGCGCCGGATTCTGTCCCAGTTGCCCCTCTTCCAGGCCAGCCCTCTGCTATGGCCAGGAAGTGCAGTGGAGGATGGCCCAAGTGCTTGGGCCCTGCACCCCATGGGAGACCAGGATAAGTACCTGGCTCCTGCCATTGGATCAGCGCAGTGCGCTGGCCGCAGTGGCCATTGGAAAGTGAACCAACGGCAAAAGGAAGACCTTTCTCTCTGTCTCTCTCTCACTGTCCACTCTGCCTGTCAAAAAAAAAAAAATACATGAAATCACAATTTTGTAACTTTATTTTATTTGTATTTCTTTTTTATCAGTGCCCCAGATTCATACTTAGTACTAGTTTTCCCATCCATTGAATGTTTATTTTACTCTTTAAAGAAATGTAGACTTTTTTTTTTTTTTTTTTTGATAGGCAGAGTTAGGCAGTAAGAGAGACAGACAGAGAGAAAGGTCTTCCTTCCATTGGTTCACCCCACAAATGGCTGGCGCACTGTGCCGATCTGAAGCCAGGAGCCAGGTGCTTCCCCCTGTTTCTTCCATGCAGGTACAGGGCCCAAGCACTTGGGCCCTCCTCCCCTGCCTTCCTGGGCCACAGCAGAGAGCTAGACTGCAAGAGGAGCAACCGAAACAGAATCAGGTGCCCCAATCGGGACTAGAACCCGGGGTCCAACACCACAGGCAGAGGATTAGCCTAGTGAGCCGCGGCGCCAGCCAGTATACATAGACTTTTGGTAGCTATTTAACTGCTTTTATTATTTCAAGTGTGTGTGTTTTACAGTTAATTATGTTAGATATGTTTTTTATTTATAAGTAATCCCTAGCCGACTGTCCTTATATGAGAAATCAGAGTAGTAATTTTAGTATTGATGTTATCCTACTCACAGGCCTATGTAGTCTGCAGTAAAAATCAGTTTGAAAATGATGTATAGGAGGCAGCATTGTAGCATAATGAACTAAGCCACTGCCAGAGATGCCAGGATCACATATGGGCACCAGTTCCAATCCCAACTGGGAAACCAGCAGAATGTGACCCAAGTCTGGGTCCCTGCCACCCGTGTTGGAGAGCAGAGTGAAGCTCCTGGCTCCTGGCTTCAGTATGTCTCACACCTGGCGATTGCAGCCATCTGGGAAGTGAAATAGCAGATGAAAGATCGATTTCTCTCTCTCTCTCTGTTATATATAAATAAATATCCTCTCTCTCTAACACATTCAAAAAATTAATAAACCATTTAAATAAAAGCCAAATGCTATGAAACAAAACCTATAGTCATTCAGTGTGCATTTCAGTTGGTATTTTGAAATTTGCTGATTTTTTAAATAGCATATTTTAATGAAATCATGTTTTTAAAAACTCTTTGTAGGCATATATTATATAGTTTGTGACTTTCAATATTTCAATAAATTAATCATGCCCTGTGCTATTGTTTCATCTTTAGAAAATAATAACACAGGGATAAATATTGGATTAATGTGGACAGTATTGGATTTACTGTACACAATTAGTAAAACACTGTCATTTTAAGCCAAAGCTTGAAATATTTTATATAATGAATATTATTTAATAAATAGTGTCCAGTAGATACGAAAACATGCACTTTATGATACTACTAACTATTCTAGGCAACATGCTAGTGGTGATATGGGAAAAGTATTGAAAATCTTTTCATTATAATTGAAACTAAATAATAAAATATATACTGTCAATATTGTAAGAAGCAAAAATCTTACAGGTATGATTTTTGTCAGAAATGAATGGACCTTTTTAAATTGTATTTTCCAAATAATTTTTATTCCTATGGGGCAAACAAAACCACTTGCTATCAATTGGTTTCTAATGATATTCCATAAGATAAAATGCAATTGGCTATATAGAATATTTTGTCAGTCATGGCCAAAGTTGTTCTGTGTGTCATGTATGTATTCTTGCTTTTAGAATTCAAATTTTTTACTGCCAAATTATATCACTTTTTTGTAGTCCCTGGATCCTAAATTTACAATTTTAAATAAAAGTAAAATAAAATCTTACCAAAATGAGCTAATTAGAAGCAAATTAACTAAACTAAACAATCTTGTAGTTAATTCCAATAAAAATAACACAACATCATTGTCCTTAACTCACTTTTTGTAAGGCACTTACATTTAGTATAACAAAAGTAATTTGTATTGGTAACTTGTTAAAAACCTAGACACTTTAAGTCACTTTGCTAGCCAGCTCCCCAACTTTATCTCTGTAATATTGGCAGACTATTTAACCTCTGTGTACCTTGTCTCATCTGTCAAATGCATTTGCTAACACTACCAAATAAAAGAAATTATCTCTGAAATTAATTATGCATAGAAACATATCAGATGTTAGCTAATACTGTACTTTAACAAAATTTTTTATATCTGGTTATTTCTTAGAATTCATAATGCACTTAAAGGAATACCAGATGACCGAGATGGACTGTTTGACACAATCCAGCACTCTAAGAATCACTATCAAAAAAGAGCATATCAATGTATAAAGTGCATGGTAGCTTTATTTAACAATTGTACTGTTGCTTACCAGATTTTACAGGTAAGAATGTTTTCTTCCATGACAGTTTTACACAATTCTGAATCTGAATTTAGGACTACTTTAAAGAAAAATGAATGAAAATTTAAAGTTGACATTCTAATTGACATTGAAAATTATTCGCAAGTTCTTTACATATATAATTTTATTGTATTTTCAAGGGTAATGGAGATCTTAAGAGAAAGTGGACCTGGGCTGTAGAATGGCTTGGAGATGAACTGGAAAGAAGACCCTATCTTGGGAATCCACAGTACACATACCATAATTGGTCTCCTCCAGTACAAAGCAATGAAACATCAAATGGTTATTTTTTAGAAAGATCACATAGTGCTAGGATGACACTTGCAAAAGCTTGTGAACTCTGTCCAGAGGAGGTAAAAAAGAATTTAAAGTTACAATTGACAGCAGATAGAAATGGTAGAGATAAAAGTAAATTCTTATGTTGTAGGCCAATATTTGTTAGATAGTGTGTGTTGCAGTTTTGTTATTTCATCAGTTAGCATAGATACTTATTTTTAATAGAGTTTGCTTTTGGAAACAAATTGCCTAAAAATCATGTATCTGAAAAAATAATTTTTTCTCTGAATTATTTTATCTGTAGTAAATGAAAGATGTTGAAGTCAGCATTGTGAATTTTTTTAATTTATCTTAAAAGAGATTAAAAATAAATCTGGAGTTACTTTTATAGCCATATTATTTTTTTCTGCTTAAGAAAAGTGTGACTTTACCTTTTCAGATAATCATAGATATCTTTTTCTTTTTTTACTTTTACTAAAATATAAATCATAAATAATAGAAATATTTAATAACTAAAATACATCAAGCCCAGCAAAAGCTCTAAGGATTGTGAAAGCCAAATTTTTTGTCTGCAAATCTTTAAAATTAGGAGCCAGATGACCAAGATGCCCCAGATGAGCATGAAACCTCTCCACCAGAAGATACCTCTTTGTATCTCCGTGTATCTGGATCTCAATATCAGCAGGTAAGAAGGAATTATTTAAAATTTTATCTCAAACCAATTTTTATGCTTTATTTAAAGTACATTTTGTTTTTTTCTTAAAGTTGCCTGACAGCCCAGACTGAATAATAATAAACTATCTAGAACAGCTTTGTGCCAAGCTCAAAAGAAGAATGTTTGGACTGTATCATACTGAAAGATTTTTCATCTTACCCCTGTGGTATTTTCCCTATTAACTAGGCACCTACCGGGTGTTACTTAATAAAATTGAGTGGTATTTCTTATCAATGTAAAATGAGTCATATTTTGGAGAAATGTGAAGCAAAAGTAACTTGATTACTTAGTCTAAAATTCAGTGACAGTAACAGAGAAAGGAAGGAGAAGAGAAACAGATACAGAAAGACAAATAGAGTTCCTACCCTCTTTAACTTTGCACATAACCACAAAGCCAGAAACGTGATTTAGGTCTCCTTTGATGTAAGGAACCAAAACACCTGTGCCATTACCTTCTGCCTCCTAAAATTAACATTGGCTACAAGCTGTAATTAAGAACCAGAGTTGAGATTAGAACCCAGGCACTTTGAAGTGGGATTGGGTTTTCTTAACCACTAGGCTAACTGCCCACTTTTAAAACTATTTTGGAGACCAGCATTGTGGTTGATACAACAAGTTTAGCCACTCCCTACAATGCAGCCTACCATATTGGAGTGCCTATTGAGTCCCTGCTGCTGTACTTCCAGTCAAATTCCCTAGTTTTTTGCCTGTTATTGCCTCCCATGTGGGAGACACAGATGTAGTTATAGGCTCCTGAGTTTGGCATGGCCAAATAGTTGTGGCCATCTGGTGAGATGGAACATTTCTGTCTATATCTCTCCATCTCAGATCAGTCTGCCTTCTAAATAAATAAATAAATCTTAAAAAAAAAAAGACTTCTTAATAAAAATGCTTTTAGAAATCAGTAGGTGGTTTATTGTGGCAAAGGGGATACAGAATGACAAAAATAACATAGAGAAGAAACTTCATGAGAACTTTTCTTTTGAAAATAAGTATTTGGAGGGAAAGATTCTAGAAAAATTACCTTAAAAGTTAAGCCACAATTCAGTAACCAGTTCCATTCTCTTCAGGCTGTTGTTCTTAAATTTAGTATGTCTTATAGGCCGGCGCCGTGGCTCAATAGGCTAATCCTCCACCTTGCGGCGCCGGCACACCGGGTTCTAGTCCCGGTCGGGGCGCCGGATTCTGACCCGGTTGCCCCTCTTCCAGGCCAACTCTCTGCTATGGCCAGGGAGTGCAGTGGAGGATGGCCCAGGTGCTTGGGCCCTGCACCCCATGGGAGACCAGGAAAAGCACCTGGCTCCTGGCTCCTGCCATCGGATCAGCGCGGTGCGCCAGCTGCAGCGGCGGCCATTGGAGGGTGAACCAACGGCAAAGGAAGACCTTTCTCTCTCTGTCTCTCTCTCTCACTGTCCACTCTGCCTGTCAAAAAAAAAATAAAATAAAATAAATTTAGTATGTCTTATAATTACCCAAAAGTACTTGGAAAGAACATAAGTTCTTATTTTTTTTAAAGATATATTCGTTTATTTGAAAATCAAAGATCGAGGGAGACAGAGAAATGTCTTCATCCACTGATTCACTCTTCAAATGGCTACAGTGGCTTGAGCAGGGCTAGGCCAAAGCAAGGGGATTCTTTCTGTTTCCCAATTGAGAGCAGGAGCCCGAGGACTTGGGCTATCCTCCACCACCATTCCAGGCAATAGCAGGGACTGGATTGGAAGCACAGCAGCCAGGACTTGAACTGGCACCTATATAGGTTGCCAGCACGGCAGACCAATTGCTTAACCTGGTATCAGCCCCAGCAATGTAACTCTTTAAACACTTTCGCTGTGAAAGTAAAACCAGATACCATCAGAAACTCACAGATTTGTGTGTGCACATTTTCTCAAAACACTTTATCTGCTTGTTTCTTATTTTCTTTCTAATATAGAAATCAGTTTTATAACTGCTAGGGAGTTTTTTAAAGTTCTAGGAATAAAATAGTTCTAGAGCAGGAGTGGAAAGCTTTTTTTCTGCCAAGGGACATTTGGATGTTTGTAATATCACCCATGGGCCATATGAATTTGTCAGCTTAAAAACTAGCCCACAAGGCCAGCAGGTAGCATAAGAGGTTAACCTACTGCCTGCAGTGCCAGCATATCCTTCATGGATGCCAGTTAGGGTCCGAGCTGCTACACTTCCAATCCAACTCCCTGCCTATTCCTGGGAAAGCAGCAGAAGATGGCCCAAGTCCTTGGGCCCTTGTACCTACATGGGATACCCAGATGAAGTTCCTGGCTTCTGGCTTCAGATTGTATCAGCTGTGGCCATTGAAGCCATTAAGGGAGTGAACCAATAGATGGAAGATCCCTCCTTGCCTTCTCTAACTCTGCCTTACAGATAAATAAAATTAAATCCAGTCCAGCTCTCTGCTGTGGCCTGGGAAGGCAGTGGAATATGGCTCAAATCCTTGGACCCTACACCCACAGAGGAGTCCAGGGGAAGTACCTGGCTCCTGGCTTCAGATCAGCACAGTGCGCCGGCTTTAGCAGCCATTGAGGGGTGAACCAACGGAAAAGGAAGACCTTTCTCTCTGTCTCTTTCTCTCTCACTGTCCACTCTGCCTGTCAAAAAATTAATTAATTTTAAATCTTAAAAAAATTAGTCTGCTATGAGTTATTTGAGTTTTGAGTCTACTATTTGTTGGCAGAGCCAGCCCAGATTATTTTACAGGCCTCATACAGCTTACAAGTCAGATTTTCCGCCCCTATTTTAGACAGATTTTGTCCCATCATTATAAAGTTTAATTGTAATGTATGAAAAGTTTGACATGCAAATCTTTTTCATCCTTTTAGAGTACTCATGTGCATGGACAGCCATATATAGGACCAGCTGCTGATTGCTTGAACAGCACTCAGAAAACTGGCCAACAAACAGAAGAAAATTACGAAGCCAATGAAGAAGTATCCTTATCTCAAATAAAGAATCAATGAAATACATACCATTAGCTGGTTGTTAAGATGCAATACTCGGGCCTTACAGGCCAAAATTTCCATGCCTGAGTAATATATTAAAAGTAGAGAAGCTATTCCAAGTCAACATGGAATTGAGAGTCTTTTCACGGTCACATACGCAGAAATTTGCTATCATTATAAACTGCACACAGGATAAGTGTATAGTGTTTTATAATAAACGGCTATAATACTATTTAAATGGCAAAGGTGTATATAGTATATTAATGTTTGTTAATTCTTATGCAAAAACCTTTCTGTGAAAAAGCTATATACAAACACAAAAATAAATTCTCTTAGTGCCCATTGCATTCTGCAACTAGTGTTGCTTGCCTCATACACATCAACCTGTTTACGAAAAACAAGAGAGAAAAATAAGGAACATAAAATAGCCTTTCCACATCAATCCAATCAACAGTTCTTTTTAATTCTTGTTTTAGGATATGTACATCTTGTAGGTAACTTGAATTATATGTTGATGTGGAATTCTTCTGATGTATTATTCCTAGATATTTTTCTTTATATTTTTATTTTGATTTTAAGTGGATCACTTTAGTTCTGTAGTCATGTTGTAACATTTAGCATGACTTCTCACCAGTGGGAAGAGAATTATCCAACTGATAGAAGTTGTCCAAAAATGGCAGTTTTATCAGACTCATTTTTCATACATCTTAAGATAAATATGAAATGGAGAGGAATGTGACAAGCAGTTTTTATTGCACATATGTTCATCACATTTAATATTTGATGATTCAGTAGCTTCATGGGGTAAAGAATATTGGTAGGAATTTTGAAGTATGAGAACAAACGTTTAAAACTTCACTATGCCAGAAGGTATGAGACATAATGAAAGACTGTATTTTGGTGTGTACTTGTTCTGGTTTTTTGGCTCTCTTTTTGTTATAATTTATTAGATATAGCTTCAGAAACTTTACTTCCGTATTTCCCACAAAGTGAACAGAAACAGTAATCATAATGCTTTGAAATGCCATTGTACCAATATTATCTCTGAAAGCAAGACTTATAGTTGTTTTTCCATTGTTTCAAAACTCTTATTGTTTGATGGTATGTTTAATAAAATATGTTCTTCTGTCCAACTAGCATAAATCAAAAGTGCCATTTTTAAAATAGACACTTGCTTAAGGATTCCAAGAAACTTACGAGTTAATGCTTTGTTAAGAAGAGAATTGGTAACTTTTGAATGTATACATATTTTGGAACCTATCAAAAAACCAAGTATCTGCCAACAGTTATAATATGTCTATATATTACTTAAATATTTTGCTGTTTTGTTTTATAGAAATTATTTTGCTGAATTCACAAATAGAATTTGATTTAAAAAGAATTTTGTCTCTTTACTTTCTTGTTGTTTCTTATATTCTTAAAGAGTACACATTAAAATTTTATTATTTGTATAGTATGCATTACATTGAATTCAACATTCCAGACATGGTGAATTTTTGTGCATAAAAATGACTTTACTAAGGATTTAGAAAAGCAATTACATTATTACATTGTAAAACATTTGCTGTCATATTCAGTCTGTCATATTATGACATTTTTATAAACCCAGTTCTTGTTATTTTAATATTTAAGTCTTGTCAAGGCACCATAAGTACCAAATTAGTGAATCTGGACTCATTTCAAATGCCTAATCTTTTTCTTTTTTTTAAAAGCTTTTATTCAATGAATACGCTTTTCATAGGTACAACTTTAGAAATACAGTGATTCTTTCCCCCATACCCATCCTCCCACCCTGACTCCTGTCCCACCCTCTACTCCTTCTCCTACTGATTATGTAGAAGTGTGTACTGAAGTCTTTCACCAAATTTGTACCTTTTTGAATATATATGTAGATAGTGTTTTCTGTAAATAACTTATTTCCCTCAATTCTCTACAATTTGTTTAAAAGAATAAAGTCCAAAGTTAAGTCTAGTCTTGTTAACCTAGGAATACTTCTGCCTTACTTAGAAATACTCGTGATTTTTATAACAACATTCTTTAAATGCAGTTTTAATAATTTTCAATTTAAATAAGGTTATCTGAATTTCAAAAAAAAATAACAACCAGAGATCATAAGAGTTCAAAGTATTGAGATAACACTTTTTGCAGTTCTAATATGGCCTTTATTTCTCCATTTGAAAACACATTATGGTGATGGTATAGAAAAGACTTCGTAATTTTCCAATATAAAATATACAACTCTTCCTCAATGCAAATAAGCCACTTGCTGGGTTTCTGTTTACTTGGGGAAATATAACAACAGTCATATGGAATTTGTCTGCCAGATATGTCTAAGAATTTGACCATATGGATGAGTCTTTGGATCTTTGTTGGATTTATAAACTTTAATTATTTGTTTTTTGCTTTTTGTGGTTTTTTGTTTGTTTGTTTGTTTTTTGACAGAGTGGACAGTGAGAGAGAGAGACAGAGAGAAAGGTCTTCCTTTGCCGTTGGTTCAACCTCCAATGGCTGCCGCGGCTGGCGTGCTGCAGCCAGCGCACTGCGCTGATCCAATGGCAGGAGCCAGGTGCTTCTCCTGGTCTCCCATGGGGTGCAGGGCCCAAGCACCTGGGCCATCCTCCACTGCACTCCTGGGCCACAGCAGAGAGCTGGCCTGGAAGAGGGGCAACCGGGATGGAATCCAGTGCCCTGACCAGGACTAGATCCCGGTGTGCCGGCGCCACAAGGTGGAGGATTAGCCTAGTGTCATGTGTTTTAATATATATAAATCCACCTTAGTGTATTCTTCAGCTTCAATATCATAAATAATGCTATACTCAGTGCATGGAACAAATGCAAATTATGGTGGTAACTATAGACTATCAGTAAATCTATACTGGAATCTCCACCTGAAGGCAAACTGTGGTTGGCTTATTTCCAAGATTAAGACAAAATATTTGCAAGATCAATCACCAAATATCAATACTTATAGCCTCCTTTATTGGCACTATTAAAAGCAAGGTCAGACACTGTATGGCACTATTTTTTTTTTTGTTTTAATGAACTGCTTCCTTTTTTGTGGATCACACAGAACTTTTGCACAAAAAATTCATTTGTTCCAACCTTCTTTCTTTAATTAGGGTTTTAAAATGGCAGTTGCTTTCTATCCACAAAAATATACTAAACTAATCAAAATATATACTCTTTCTGAGCTCATATTAGACAATTTTGGTTGTTCCAATTAGTGTATGAAAGACTAGCCTGAGATCAAACTTAATGCCTTCTGTTTAATTACACTAACCCATGCATGTGCTTTCAGAAAAGTTTCTTTTCTTCTCACTGGAGTCAAATGAGAAGATAAAATCCCAATGTCAATTTTCATCTTTAATTTTTGAGACAAGTAAACCAGGTTTCTCATTGTTATCTTTGTATTCTGGGTTTTTTTCCCCCACTTGAAAGATTGCAGATTCCCACTGATCTCATTTGTTAGGCATATAAAGATTTCCATCCTGGGCCCAACTTTCTATCACAGCAAATTAAGCTACTGTTTTCTTAACAGCAAGTTAAGCTGCTGCTATCAGATTATTGGCTGAAATCCTGACTTCACTGCTTCCGATCCAGCATCCTGCTAATGCTCCTGGAAAGGCAGCAGAAATGATTCAAGTTTCTGGGACCCTGCTATTCACTTCTGAAACCTAGAAAGAATTCTAGATTCCAGGACCTGGCTTTTGAAGCCATTTGGATATTGAGCCTGTGAATGCAAGAATGCTCTTAACTTCTCCCTCTCTGCCTTTTAAATATGTGTTTAAAAAAAAAAAAAAAAAGCCAAAAGACATCAAGTCCAGACGTGGCTATTGTGTCTATTCCATTTTGAGAGTGATCCAGTGAATGAAATGTCTGTCTTTCACTTTTCCTCCACTCTTTTAAATGAGTAAATCTAGAATTTCTATCCTACTGGAATGAATATTTCTGTTTCCTTTCTCTTTTTGTGAATTCTAGTTTTCTTAGAATCTAGAGACTCTAAAAAGAACAATGAGACAACAAATCCAATAAGGCTTCTTGAATTGTTGCCCAGTTTTGCATAAGTAAGCTTACATAGAATGCCCATGCAAGAGGAACCCCCTGATTTACATGACTTGGGTGTCAGCATCTTTATTTTATGAAATCAAGCAATCTAGCACTGCTTGCATATATCATTAGCTTCCTACAGAGATTGATTTGCCATCAGCCAGAGGCAGAGGGAAGGTGGAGCGAGACAATCTCTGGGTACACATTTTAGTGTTATTTATCAGGAAATTTGCCCTCTTCTAAATAATTTCTTGAGTATCTGAATCATGTTCATCATCAGTGATTTTTCAGTAGACCCTGCATCAAACCAAACATGCATTCAAAGCGAAAATACTTGAATTAGTCATTTTCACAATTCATTTAGTAAAGATTGTTCATGAAGCTGACACTACCGCTCCAAAAAAGAATTATGGACCTCCTTACCTCTAGAGCTCTTGACTTTGTAGGGTCTTGATTTTATCTTTACTCTATTGAACTGTTGTTTTGCTGACTTCCAGTTACACAGTTGCTATATGTTATAACATTTTTTGAAGATTGATTTGTTCAAAAGGCAGAGTTAGAGTGAGCGACAAAGTGATCTTTCATCAGCTGGTTCACTCCCCAAATGGCTACAGCACCAGAGGTGGACCAGACCATAGACAGGATCCAAGAAGTTCTTCCAGGTCTACCACATAGGTGCAGGTGTCCAAAGACTTCATTGTCTGTTTCCCAGGTGCATTAGTAGGGAGCTGGATTGAAAAAAGTAGGAAGTAGGAGTGGACCTGGCACCTAATTGGGTGGTGGATTTACTCATTATGCCACAGTGCAGTCCTACCATGTGTTCTCTCAGTGTATTTTTTTCCCAAAGAAACCTTTTATTTAATGAGAACAACTTTCATAAGTACAACTTTAGGATAATTCCCACTGTACCAACATTCCCTCTCCACTTCCTCCTCCTCTCACATTCCCAGTTCCATTCTTCATTAAGATTAGTTTTCAATTAACTTTATACACAGAAGACCAACCCTATACCAAGTAAAGATTTCAGTAATTTGTACATATACACACATAGAAACACAAAATATAATAAACTGAGAACAAGTTTTATAGTTAATTCACACAGTACAACTCCTTAAGGACAAAAGATTCTGCATGGGGAGTAAGCTCACAGTGACTCCTGTTGGTAATTTATCAATTAAAACTCTTATGGAAGATGCCAGTGATCACTTGAGCCTCTGCCAAGGTTATGGAAGTTTTTTGAGTACATAATCTCCATCAGTATTTAGACAACGCCATAAGCAAAGTGGAAGTTCTTTCCTCCCTTCAGAGAAAAGTACATCCTTCTATGATGGCGCTTTCTTTCCACTGGGGTCTCACAGAGATACTTTATGTAGGACATTTTTTTTTCTGCCACAGAGTTTTGGCTTGCCATCTCAGGGCTTTCAGCCAGATCAGAATGCCTGGAGGGCAGATTCTGAGGTCAACATGCAACTTTAAGTGATTGTCATTCTATGAGGCTGCTGTGTGGACTGGTTGGAACATTCTCTCCTTTTTAATTCTATTATTACAGACATTTGATCTTATTTGTGTGATCCCTTTAACACTTGATCCCATCTACCTAATCACTTTAACACTTAATATGGATACTTTAACTGTTAAGATAACATTTATACAACCCAGCTTAAGGGATTGGGGGTCCCCTGGCAAGTTTTTAAATTATAACCTTAGAAATAAGCCCATAGGAATGTATGCAGAACTATTCAGCTATACAATTACAAACTTTCTCCTCTCACTCCTACTCTTATTTTTTACTGAGATCTATTTTTGAATTTATATATGTATGATTAATTCTATGTTAAACAAAGGTCAACAAACAGTGTGAAGAAGAGAGAAAAAAACTTGTTCCTCAACAATCAAGGAAAAGGCTGTTTAGGTCATTGCTTCTCGAAGTGTAATTTCATTTCTACAGATTTCCTTTTATGTGCTCTATAGGTTATCACAGATCAGTGAAAACATAAGACATTTGTCCCTTTGCAACTGGCTTATTTCACTAAATATGATGTTTTAGAGATTCATCCATTTTGTTTCAACCAACCAGATTTCATCCTTTTTACTGTTGTATAGAATTCCACAGGTTAAATATCCCATAATTTTTTAAGATTTATTTATTTATTTATTTGAAAGAGTTACACAGAGAGAGGAAAGGCAGAGAGAGAGAAGTCTTCCATCCACTGGTTCACTCCCCAGTTGTCCTCAACAGCTGAAGCTGTCCCACTCTGAAGCCAGGAGCCAGGAGCTTATTTCAGGTCTCCTATGCGGGTGCAGGGGCCCGAGGACTTGGGCCATTTTCTACTGCTTTCCCAGGCCACAGCAGAGAGCTGGATCCTTAGTGGAGCAGCCAGGTCTCAAACTGCTAACACTTCAGGCCAGGGCATTAACTTCCTGCGCCACAGCACCAACCCTTCCCATAATATCTTTAACAGTTGTCTGACAGGATTTTGATCCATGTCTTAGCTATTGTGAATTGAGCTGCAATAAAAATGATGGTAGAGGCCGGCACCTCGGCACACTAGGCTAATCCTCCACCTTGCGGCGCCAGCACACCGGGTTCTAGGCCTGGTCGGGGCAATGGATTCTGTCCCGGTTGCCCCTCTTCCAGGCCAGCTCTCTGCTATGGCCCAGGAGTGCAGTGGAGGATGCCCCAAGTACTTGGGCCCAGCACCCCATGGGAGACCAGGATAAGTACCTAGCTCCTGCCATTGGATCAGCTTGGTGCGCCGGCCACAGCACGTCGGCCGCGGCAGCCATTGGAGGGTGAACCAACGGCAAAGGAAGACCTTTCTCTCTGTCTCTCTCTCACTGTCCACTCTGCCTGTTAAATTAATTAATTAATTAATTAATTAATAAACAAACATGATGGTAGAGAGAGCTCTTCCCTATGCTGATTTCATTTCCCTTTGGTAAATTCCCTGGAGTTGGATGGCTGGTTCATATGGTAGGTCTATATTCAGATTTCTAAGGTATTTCCATACTGTCTTCCACAAAGGGCTATATCACTTTACATTCCCACAAAGAGTAAATTAGCTTCTTTTCTTCCCACATCATCATTGTTGATTTCTGTGTGAATGCCATTCTAACTGGGGAGAGGTAAAATTTCATTCTGTGGCCAGCGCTGCAGCTCACTAGGCTAATCCCCTGCCTACAGGCGCCGGCACACTGGGTTCTATTCCTGGTCGGGGCACTGGATTCTGTCCCAGTTGCCCCTCTTTCAGGCCAGCTCTCTGCTGTGGCCCGGGAGTGCAGTGGAGGATGGCCCAAGTCCTTGGGCCCTGCACCTCATGGGAGACTAGGATAAACACCTGGCTCCTGCCTTTGGATCAGCGCACTGCGCCTGCTGCAGCGCACCGTCCGCAGTAGCCATTGGAGGGTGAACCAAGAGTAAATGAAGACCTTTCTGTCTTTCACTGTCTACTCTGCCTGCGAAAAAAAAAAAAAAAAAAACTCATTGTGGTTTTCATTCACATTTTCCTGATGGCTAGAGATCCTGAGGATTTTTTCATGTGAGTGTTGGACATTTGGGTCTCCTCTTTTGAAAAATGTCTAATTACTTTGCCCATTTCTAGACTGGGTTGTATAATTTGTTGTGGTAGAGCTTCTTGATCTCTTTGTAGATTCTGGTTATTAATCCTGTATCAGTTGCCTAATTCATTTTTTCCAGATGAGAATATCTTTCGTATTTTGATAGGTATAACAGTGAATCTTTAAATTGCTTTTGGGAGAATGGACATTTTGATGATATTGATTCTTCCAATCCATGAGCATGGAAGATTTTTCCATTTTTGGTATCCTCTTCTATTTCTTTCTTTTGGTTCCCATCATAGAGATCTTTGACGTCCTTGGTTAAGTTTATTCAAGGTATTTGATTGTTTTTGTAGCTATTGTGAATGGGATTGATCTTGGCAGTTCTTTCCCAGCCATGTCATTGCCTGTGTATACAAAGGCTGTTGATTTTTGTGCATTAATATTACATCCTGCTACTTTGCCAAACTCTTCCATGAGTTCTAGTAGTCTCTTAGAGTTCTTTGGATTCCCTAAGTAGAGAATCATATCTGCAAAGAGGGATAGTTTGAGTTCTTCCTTCCCAATTTGTATCACTTTAATTTCTTTTTCTTGCGTAATAGCTCTGGCTAGAACTTCCAGAACTATATTGAATAGCAATGGTGAGAATGGGTATCCCTGTCTGGTACCAGATCTCAGTGGAAATTGTTCCAACTTTTCCCCCATTCAATAGGATGCTAGCCATTGGTTTTCCATAAATTGCTTTGATTGTATTGAGGAATGTTCCTTCTGTACCCAATTTGCTTAGAGTTTTCATCATGAAAGGGTGTTGTATTTTATCAAATACTTTCTCTGTGTCTCTTGAGATAATCATATGGTTTTTCTTCTGCAGTTTGTTAATGTGGTGTATCACATGGATTGCTTTTCAAACATTGAACCATCCCTGCTTATCAGGGATAAATCCCACTTGGTCTGGGTGGATGATCTTTCTGATGTGTTGTTGCATTCTATTGCCAGAATTTTATTGAGGATTTTTGCTTCTATGTTCATCAGGGAAATTAGCCTGTAATTGTCTCTCCGCTGCATCCTTTTCAGGTTTAGGAATTAAGGTGATGCTGGCTTCACAGAAAGCATTTGGGAATTTGGGAATTGTAAAGGCACCAAACAGATGAGCTTTCACTACATCTCAAGGATCTAGAAAATCTGTAGCAAACCAGACCCAAAACTAGTAGGAGAAGAGAAATAATTAATTTCAGAGAAGAAATCAACAGGTTTGAATCCCAAAAAAAATCACAAAAAAAGCCAAACGAGGAGCTGGTTTTTTGAAAAAATAAACAAAATTGACACCCCACTGGCCCAACTAAAAAAAGAAGAGAAAAGACCCAAATCAATAAAATCAGAGATGAAAAAGGAAATGTAACAACAGACACCACAGAAGTAAAAAGAATCATCAGAAATTACTACAAGGACAAGGCCCTGTATGCCAGCAAACAGGGAAATCTATCAGAAATGGATAGATTCCTGGACACATGCAACCTACCTAAATTGAAGCAGGAAGACATAGAAAACCTAAACAGACCCATAGCCGAGACAGAAATTGAAACAGTAATAAAGGCCCTCCCAACAAAGAAAAGCCCAGGACCAGATGGATTCACTGGGGAATTCTACCAGACATTTAAAGAAGAACTAACTCCAATTCTTCTCAAACTATTCAGAACAATCAAAAAAAAGGGGGGGGGGATCCTCCCAAATTCTTTCTATGAAGCCAGAATCACCTTAATTCCTAAGCCGGAAAAAGATGCAGCATTGGAAGAGAATTTCAGACCAATATCCCTGATGAACATAGATGCAAAAATCCTCAATAAAATTCTGGCCAATAGAATGCAACAACACATCAGAAAGATCATCCACCCAGACCAAGAGGGATTTATCCCTGGTATGTAGGGATGGTTCAGCATTCGCAAATCAATCAATGTGATACACCACATTAACAAACTGCAGAAGAAAAACCATATGATTATCTCAATAGACACAGAGAAAGCATTTGATAAAATACAACACCCTTTCATGATGAAAACTCTAAGCAAACTGGGTATGGAAGGAACAATCGTCAATACAATCAAAGCAATTTATGAAAACCCCACGGCCAACATCATATCGAATGGGGAAAAGTTGGAAGCATTTCCACTGAGATCTGGTACCAGACAGGGATGCCCATCTCACCACTGCTGTTCAACATAGTTCTGGAAGTTCTAGCCAGGGCTATTACGCAAGAAAAAGAAATTAAAGGGATACAAATTGGGAAGGAGAACTCAAAATATCCCTCTTTGCAGATGAGATGATTCTCTACTTAGGGAATCCAAAGAACTCTAAGAGACTATTGGAACTCATGGAAGAGTTTGGCAAAGTAGCAGGATGTAATATTAATGCACAAAAATCAACAGCCTTTGTATACACAGACAATGCCATGGCAGAGGAAGAACTTCTAAGATCAATCCCATTCACAATAGCTACAAAAACAATCAAATACCTTGAATAAACTTAACCAAGGAAGTCAAAGATCTCTACAATGATAATTACAAAACCTTAAAGAAAGAAATAGAAGAGGATACCAAAAATGGAAAAATCTTCCATGCTCATGGATTGGAAGAATCAATATCATCAAAATGTCCATTCTGCCAAAAGCAATTTATAGATTCAATGCAATACCAATCAAAATACCAAACACATTCTTCTCACATCTGGAAAAAATGATGCTGAAATTCAAATGGAGACACAGGAGACCTCAAATAGCTAAAGCAATCTTGTACAACAAAAACAAAGCGGGAGGCATCACAATACCAGATTTCAGGACATACTACAGGGCAGTTGTTACCAAAACAGCATGGTAATGGAACAGAAACAGATGGTTAGACCAATGGAACAGAATAGAAACACCAGAAATCAATCCAAACATCTACGGCCAACTCATGTTTGATCAAGGATCCAAAACCAACCCCTGGTGTAACGACAGTCTATTCAATAAATGATACTGGGAAAACTGGATTTCCACATGCAGAATCATGAAGCAAGACCCCAACCTTTCACCTTACACAAAAATTCACTCAACATGGATTAAAGACTTAAATCTACAACCCGACACCATCAAATTACCAGAGAGCATTGGAAAAACCCTGCAAGATATATTACCGGCAAAGACTTCTTGGAAAATACCCCAGAAGCACAGACAGTCAAAACCAAAATTAACGTTTGGGATTGCATCAAATTGTTCTGTACTTCAAAAGAAACAGTCAGGAAAGTGAAGAGGCAACTGACAGAATGGGAAAAAATATTTGCAAACTATGCAACAGATAAAGGGTTGATAACCAGAACCTACAAAGAGATCAAGAAACTCCACACCATCAAAACAAAAAACCCACTTAAGAGATGGGCCATGGACCCCAATAGACATTTTTCAAAAGAGGAAATCCAAATGGCCAACAGAACATGAAAAAATGGTCAAGATCACTAGCAATCAGGGAAATGCAAATCAAAACCACAATGAGGTTTCACCTCACCCCAGTTAGAATGGCTCACATTCAGAAATCTACCAACAATAGATGCTGGAGAGGATGTGGGGAAAAAGGGGACACTAACCCACTGTTGGTGGGAATGCAAACTGGTTAAGCCACTATGGAAGTCAGTCTGAGATTCCTCAGAAACATGAATATAACCCTACCATTCAACCCAGCCATCTCACTCCTTGGAATTTACCCAAAGGAAATGAAATTGGCAAACAAAAAAGCTGTCTGCACATTAATGTTTATTGCAGCTCAATTCACAATAGCTAAGACCTGGAACCAACCCAAATGCCCATCAACAGTAGACTGGATAAAGAAATTATGGGACATGTACTTTATAGCATACTATACAGCAGTCAAAAACAATGAAACCCAGTCATTGGCAACAAAATGGACGAATCTGGAAAACATTATGCTGAGTGAAATAAGCCAGTCCCAAAGGGACAAATATCATATGTTCTCCCTGATCGGTGACAACTAACTGAGCACCAAAGGGGAAACCTGTTGATTTGAAATGGACACTATAAGAAACAGTGACTTGATCAGCTCTTGTCCTGACTGTTGATGTAGAATGTAATACTTTATCCATTTTAGTATTTTTTTTTTGTTCTAGTACTATTGGTTGAACTCTGTAATTAACACACAATTATTCTTAGGTGTTTAAATTTTAACTGAAAAGTGATCCCTGTTAGGAATTTGAAAAGCATTATGCTGAGTGAAATAAGCCAGTCCCAAAGGGACAAACACCATATGTTCTCCCTGATCGGTGACAACTAACTAAGCACCAAAAAGGAAACCTGTTAAAGTGAAATGAACACTATGAGAAACGGTGACTTGATCAGCCCTTGCCCTGACTGTTGATGAACAACTTAATACATTATCCCTCTTAGTATTTTTTTGCTTGTTTGTTCTACTTAATACTTTTGCTTGAATACTGTAATCAATACACAGTTATTCTCAAGTGTTGAAACTTAACTGAAAAGTGATCACTGTTAAATATAAAGAGTGGGAATAAGAGAGGGAAGAGATGTGCAATTCGGGACATGCTCAAGCTGACTTACCTCGAAAGGTAGTGTTATAACATACCAGGGGATTCCAATTCAGTCCCATCAAGGTGGCATGTACCAATGCCATCTCACTAGTCCCAGTGATCAATTTCTGTTCACAATTGATCCTAATGATAGGACTAAGAGCCAAAGGGAGCACATAAACAAGGCTAGTGTCTGCAAATACTAGCTGATAGAATCAATAAGGGAGAGAACGATCCAACATGGGAAGCGAGATACACAGCAGACGATTAGAATGGCAGATGTCCTAAACAGCACTCTGGCCTCAGAATCAACCCTTAAGGCATGCGGATCTGGCTGAAAAGCCCATGAGAGTATTACAGGCATGGAAAGCCAAAACACTCTGGCAAAAAAAAAAAAAAAAACACACACACACACACCTAAATGAAA